ACATGCCGCTACAATTAAAACCATTACATTAAAATACATTTAAAACAGTATATTTCAATAATTTCAGCAGCGTGCAGATGATCGTTTATGTCAGACTGTGGCGACAGCAGCGCGGACAGTCGCTTAGCTCGCTCATATATGTACCATATAGCCTATCTATAATAACCATGTCGTTTTTATGACATAATATGTCCTTATTACGAGAAAAAATATGTCGTTTTAACGAGATAATTATATCGTTTTTACGACATAACATCTCGTTTTAACGAGAAAAGATGTCGTTATTATGAGAAAATATGTCGTTAAAACGAGAAAAGATGTCGTTAAAACGATATAACATCTCGTTATTACGACATAATTGAGTGGAAAAAATAATATGTCTGTGGCAGCAATGCGTCACCATACTACTGCATGATTACAAACATAAAGAAAAATATTTTGTGTAGGATCAGTTACCTGTGTTGGCAGAGTGCAGCAGACACAATCACCTTAATGATTTCAATATATTGTTTATTCTGCCCGAAAAGACCATAAACATTGCAGTTAACATTATTAAGTAACAATTAATTTACATACACACATCCTAAAAACTAATCCTGTGTGACTGATACGCTTCAAGTCAGGTGATTTGAGGTCAAGGTTTTGGCTGTCAGTCAATGATGCCCTCTGCTGGTAGGGAATACTAATATGGCCGCTCATTTCCGGTGGCTTCTCCGCCCAATGGCAGTTTAGAATGCAATGAGCAATCCAGTCATTATATAGATCAGTGGGCCCAACAGAACCTCAAAAGACACAAAAGACATAGTGTAACCAACATGTCATATACCGAGAAATACAACCTGGGCAAAAGGTAGTGTTTCTGCTCCCAATGTCTACAAACAAACTGCTGATGAAGCGACAAGGACCCTACAGCGTCGTTTGCAAGATAGGACTGGTGACATATGAAACTCATCACCCCGACAAAAGGCAAAGCTACACAGATTTACCACATCAACCTGCTTAAAGAGTGGAAAGAGCCACCAAGCAAACAAAAGACGTCTCTGCTGATTCGCAAAGCAGAAGTGGATCAGGAAGAGGAATGACCAGAACCTAAGGCTGGAGGGCTAGCATAGCCAGCAGACATTGATCTGGAAGATCATCTGGAAGAATCCAAAAAGGTGGAGCTGCACCATGATGCTGGAACTGGCAGCCAAAAGTAAATGGAGTAGCCCAGTTGTGACTGTCCCGAAGAAAGATGACATCCTGAGCATCTGCATTGATGCATACCCAATGCCACACATTAATGACCTTTTAGAGAGGATTGGCCAAGACATGTGAGGCTGCTCTCGGCGGGTTCATGAGCGCTGCACGCCGCTGATGCCCTGGAGCTCACACCTCCGAAAACGTTGAAGCAAATGTTCAAATAGCTGTTATCTTTATCAACAAGCCGCATATTTGAAGTCTAAAACAATATATTATCGCCTAAAAACTCTTAAAACTACATTCTGTGACACAAAAACAGTATCATTTTTAAATTACAGTGAATTTGGCCGTCCGCCATGACACTCGCTGTGAGAAATACACAATCACATTCTCCAGTTCTGGACAAATTAACTCAAACAATGGAGCAAGAGTACAATCTGCCCTTTGAGCTGCAATTAATTTATCAGGAGACAAAGACAATTCAACACGATCTTTAAAAGCTTCCTTTTCGGCACAAAGGAATCGGACAACAGGGAACAGAAGACACTTAAGTTAAACCAGGATTTAACATGAAAGTGTCACATAAATCCACTTCATTTGAAATAAGAGCATCAACGGATTTGGCCATAGATTTAAAGTATTACATAGATGTAACTGTGCACGCTAAGAAAACATCTTCAGTGCACAGTCGTCAGCGGTAGCAACAAGCGACACAGATACCACCTCAGGTGACACATTAGAATAACTCCACACTTTATAATCTTTTGTCATGGTTTAAAGAAGTGCACTTATGATGTTTTGACTAACATAATAAAGTCCATGTAAAGTACTTAATTATAATTTATAAGAACTGTAATGTGTTATTCGGTATTACATTTAATACGTATAAACATTTTAAATGTACTAAATTGCAACTTCATTCTAAATGTGTTATTACAAATATAATTAAATAGATGACATACAAGTTTCAATAAAAATTATATTAAAGTATATTTTATTTTCCTATAAATGCTTATTAGTAAATACAGCAGTACACTTAAACCATATTTCAAAGACAATAGAAGTAATTATGAAATTACATATAAAGATGTATTTAAGTCCTAATTAACTTGGTCACAAAGACACTCTAAAGGCCAAATAAATGCATTTAAAATACATTTAAACTATTTAAACATTTCATTGCAGTTAACATGCTATTAAGTGTCCGAAAACATTACACTGAATTAGCACTTAAGTATAGTCTTTTCAAGTATAGTATTTCTATAATAAGAACTCCTTTTGAAATTATGCTAAAATGTACTTTTTTCACAAGGGTATAGTACAAATATGTCTGATGGATCACTGTATCTCTTTAAAAGTCCAGAATTTTTCAAATTCCTCTAATGCAGGATTAATAATACTGTTTTATCCTTGCATTGACAAGCCCTTTGAAAATGGTCACATCATCTCAGTCAGCTCCAAGATCAATAAAACAAAGTTAAGCAAACATTATTTATTTGTTCTCAGATCTCAGAGCTAAAGCCAGAGCAGCACAATCTTTATCTGTGACACCTCGCTCACACAACCTGTGGAGAATAATGATATACTCTTCACATACTGTCATGATCCCAGACTGTGTTCCCCTGTCTTGTGTTTAAGACTCTTGTTTTTTTCCCCTATTGATTCCCAGTTCACTTCCTTTGTTCCGTTCCTGTCCCTGTTGGCCTTGCCTTGTTTGTTCCTATTGTTACCCGTCATTTGTTGTCATGGTTATTGATTAGCTCCTCCCCCTTGTTACCCTTGTTAACCTGTGTATTTAAACCCCTGTGTTTGCCCTGGTTCTTTGTCTAGTCTTATGTCTGTTTACTAGCTGTTCCCTGTTCATGTTCCCCTGTTTCTGTCATCCTGGTTCCTGTTAATTACTTCAATAAAACTCATCTGCATTTGGAACCACTTGCCTTTGTCCTTGAAATCCACCAAGCATAACACTTACACAGTTCAGGATAAATCAACAGGATGATTAAGAAACAGTTTTGTGGGGTGGTCTTCTCAAATAAAGTCATCATTTCAACTTGATGATCCCACTTTCTTGGCTTGTGTCTCTCTTATTGTTCATCTTTACACAGCACTTACACCAACCAGGACAGCAAGGAATGTGGAGGTTGTGCTTGATAACAAGCTGAGCTTTTTCACCCACATCTCAACAATGGTCCAGTTATGTAGGGTTGTGCTGTACAGCATTAGGAAAAGCAGACCCTGCCTGTCAGAATGTGTAGCACAGCTACTCATCCAAGCTTCTGTAATTTCAAAACTGGACTACTGAAATTCTCTACTGGCAGGCCTTCCAACAAGCACCAATGTCACTTATGAACTGACCAATGAACTGACTTTAGCTGGAAAAATGAATCTGTTATCGCCTTCTTACATTATTGACAATCTATTTTTCTGTTTAACACTGTAAAGCTGTTTTGACACAACCAGTGTTGCATAAAGCGTTATACAAATAAAGGTGACTTGACTTGACTCCGCTCTAGAATGATCTAGAATGCAGCACATCTTGTCTTCAATTATAAACTTGAATTTATGTGTAAATATATATATAAATGTAAATTTAAGTGTCATTACTTCAAGTTTATAATTGAAGACAAGATGTGCTGCATTCTGGATCATCTCCAGAGGTTAAGTCAAGTCGTCATGCCCCTGAACTGATTTTGTTGTGTTTTTGTTCCCCATGTGCTCCGTGACCCAGTTTCTGTCTCCCGTTGATTGTGTTATTTGGTCCAGGTGTGTGTCAGTAATTATCTTAATTTGCCCTAGTATTTAAGTCCTAGTCTGTGCAGTCTGTCTCTGTCCGTTCCACTCGTTACGTTGATGTGTTTCCTGCTGTCTCCAGTGTTGATGTACCCTGTGTTCCATGGATTAGACTGTTTCGTTTATTCCTCGTCTCCATCGTTCCTCGCCATCACAGATTGTGACACAAGTCAAGTCACCTTTATTTGTATGACGCTTTATACAACACTGGTTGTGTCAAAACAGCTTTACAGTGTTAAACAGGAAAATAGATTGTCAATAATGTAAGAAGACAATAACAGAGTCATTTTTCCAGCTAAAGTCAGTTCATTGGTCAGTTCATATATATATATATATATATATATATATATTTATAGTAGGTACAGGAGTACTAGGTCATGTGATGCGATAGAGATGAATGAAATTAACAGTCCCTGTGCTGAGATTTAGTGTGTACCGAAAATTTATTTTACAAGCTGATCTTAAAGGTGCAGTATGTAATAATGACAGCTAGTGGTTGAAATGGGTACTGCGGTCTCAATTCAAAATATTGTTTCTCCGGTCAGACTGAGGACACACAACATGAACGAGCGCAACTGACAATGGAAGGTGACGAACCTTACGCTGTAAACTGATGAGTTGATTTGTCTGCATTTTAATATGCCTGTGGTCACACAGCTTTTTAGATTGATGCTAAGGGTTTTTAGGTCGGGTACAATCTGCGATTTCTGTCCCAGTTCGTTTCCTCGCTTCCATGGCTGCAGTATGCAGCATGTGTTTTTTGCAAACTTGCAACCCAGGCTGTCGAAATATTATTAGGTAAACTGTAAGTGGACAGAATCACACAGACCAAATCAAAAACAGATGTTCCGACACAGATTGCACATTTTCAGTATTGTTTTTCGTAAGAAACAAGAATGCGAACTTAGCATGTTTCCTGAATATCTGCAAATGTATTATAACGTTTTTATGCTTTAGTACTGTCAAAAAATTACATACAGCACCTTTAATAAATATGTGTGAATATAACATATCACATATCATCTGACCACAGTTTCTCCAGTTTACAGTGAGGATCCTCCAGTCCAACAGCAAGCAGCTTCATACCTGAATTTCTTATTTTATTCTGAGACAGGTTCAGATCTCTCAGATGTGAGGGGTTTGTTTTTAAAACTAAAGCCAGAGCAGAGCAACCTTCATCTGAGACACCACAATTAATCAACCTGTAGAGAAGCACAACCAAAATTGTTAACACTTTACAATAAGGTTAATTAGTTAACATTAGTTAACTACTTTAGTTAACATGAACTAAGAATGAACAATACTTCTACAGCATTTATTAATCTTAGTTATTATTAATTCTAACATTTACTAATGCATTATTAAAATCAAAAGTTGTGCTTGCTAATATTAGTTAATGCACTGTGAATTAACATGAACTAACAATGAACAAAATGTATTTTCAATAACTAACATTAACAAAGATTAATAAATACTGCAACAAATGTGTTGTTCATTGTTTGTTCATGTTAGTTAATACATTAACTAATGGAACCTTATTGTAAATGGTTACCCCAATATTTGATAATTGATGGATCATTGGAATAAGTTTTAAAAGTTGACTGTGATGTAAACTGTGTATTTCAGTGTGACTGTCAGTTTAGTATCATGTTACTAAAGCATAGCTCATGTGTTCAGTCATTTACAGGTCAATCACCTGAACTCAGAGCAGCAGAATGAGGATGAACACTTCAAATATACTCTACATCGTGTTTCATGTGTGCAATCCAGATACGATCTTACCACAGTTTCTCCAGTTTACATTGAGGATTCTGCAGTGCATCAGAAAGCTGCTTCACTCCGGAAGCACTTATATTTCTATTATCAGTCAGATCCAGTTGTCTCAGGTGTGAGGGGTTTGATATCAGAGCTGAAGCCAGAGCAGCACAACCTTTATCTGTGACACCACAGTTCCTCAACCTGCAGTTAACAGAGACACACTCTTTACTCTTTCAGATCAGATCTTTTAGCAGGAAATCCATTAATAAAGAGAAAGTACACACTTACTATTGTAAAAAAAAAGTGCACTTGCAGTGTACTTCAAATATCAAAAGTATAATTAAAAAAACTGTACTTGTAGATTATATTAATGAAATAAAACTTACTGTAAGTGTTCTTATAGACACTTTCACAACTATGTTTCTTAACACACTTAAGAACTTATAAAAGTGCATTTTGTAATCATGTAAAATTTAAAGTTTGATCACAAACTACATTTAAATAATTTTTAAATAAATACATTATGATGTGTTGACTAACAAACTAAAACACATGTAAAGTAATTGATTATAATTTATAAGAACTGAAGTGTGTTTATTTATATTACATTTAAATTAATACATTTTAAATGTACTAAATTTCAACTTCATCATTACAAATGTGCAATTACAAAATATATTTAAATACATGACATACAAGTTTCAATAGAATTACATTAAAGTATATTTTAGTTTAAAATAAGATTTTTAAACTACTCAATGCAAAAGAGCAACGCAAAAAAAAAAAGCACATACTAGATATTTAATAATTATGGCAAATTTTCATTTTGCATTATTTTCTTCTTCCAGGTGTTTCAATCTGAAAAAAAAACTTCCCCCTTTTTTGTTTCATTAAAAATCTTGCCGAATCAATTAATAAAAAAATATCAGAAAAATAGTCAATGACTTCAACATTTGTCCTTCCCTTGTAATGAAATACTGTATGACACTTCTCTCTTGCTCTAAACTATAGTAATTGGAGTCTTTCTTAATGTGACTCACAGCTGATGCATCAGAAGACTCTTTCTGAACCTAATAGTTCATCAGCACTGAAGATTTCCTCATCAAGCCCTTTGATACACCAATATTCTGAATTTCTCTTTGATTTTGACACTACCTCCAATAGATTTGATTTTCTCTTAGTTGCTGGTATTTTGAAAATCATTTCATCCTCTCTTAAATATGTGCCTTTCTCTCTGCTCCCACAGCTCTGCATCTCCCTTCTCATTTTTCCTTTCAATATTTTGTTATTTAATTCCCAAGACTTATCCTCAGCATTGCTACTCTGAGATTTCGACTCTTTTTTTTGGGACAAGAACAAATTAAATATGCCTCTTTGCCACAACAAAACACTTAATTCTTGCAGTGAATACAAAACTCACATCAGTCCTGAACTTAGGAATGATATTGAAATTTTCCAGTATAGGACTCTTCATGTCATTAGAACTCTTGCTGTATGGTATGTATTCATCTTTTATGAATGGTGGTACATTAGACAGTAGAGTCAAGAGATTTAAATGTTTATTGTGATGTAAAATAGGGGTGGGCAATATGACCATAATCTTATATCATGGTATGAGAAATTTTATTTTACAATAATGATAAAATATCATTAAGTTTAATAAATTATTAATATATGTTTTGAGTGCTTGCTTGGCCCTTTGTCATGTTAAACTTTTAGTAAAGCGTGTTCAAGCGCCAGCAAAAAGACTTGAACAGTGTAAAGAAATACTTTTTGAGAGAAACAGTCAATCAGCAGAAGGTGAAAGCATCGTGTAAGTGTATTTATTTCTTGTCTCATTAGTTTTTAGTGCAGTTGTTGTTGCTAGGAAACGCTTGTTTTGTTTACTCTGTTGAGATGTGCTGAAGTGGCGTTTGGTTTCGTGCAGTACTGTGTTCCTTGTCAGTGCTTGCTTGGCCCTTTGCTATTTTAAACAGTAAAGCATGTTCAGCTGAATTCAATTACAGTTTGTTAGGCAGGTATAAAAAAGGTTAGCATACCGCGGCTGCCCTCATGTGAAGACCAAAGAGTGTAAAGGCCAGCAATTCTATCTGTGCGACTCCACCGAGCAAGGGACATAAGTATTGCTTTTTATTCATCCTCTTTCCCACAACTTGTTTCACGTCTGTTTCAGTTTTTATGACCGATAGTTACTATTTGTTTCCATATCCCTAATATTACTAACATTCTCAAACCATGCATCACACACTGTAGGCAGCGCAATCCTGACAACCTGCGCATTTTGCCTATGTCCACTATTACACTACTTTCTTTTCCTATTGGTCTCTGGAATTGTCAGTCTGCAGTAAACAAAGCAGATGCCATCACATCTATCTATACATTACATCTATACAGCAAGGGTCCTACCACGTTCAAGGCCCAGAAAGGTATCAAGAACATCAACAAAATAGGGCATGTGACATCAGTGATTCAACCGTAATTTTATGAAGCTAGGATAATACTATTTGTGTGCAAAAAAAAAAAAACTTTATTCAACAATTATTCTCTCCCGAGTTACCATCTATCGCCATTATTGAGAGTAACACAAGCTTTGTAAAATTACAGTTGAACCACTCATGTCAAATGGACCATTTTAACTATGTTCTTACTATGTTTCTGTGCCTTAACCGTGGTAGGACCCTTGCTGTCTATGGAGTGACAGAAAGCTCTCAGATTTCATCAAAAATATCTTAATTTGTGTTCCGAAGAAGAACGAAGCTCTTACGGGTTCTAAATGACGAAGATTAGTAATTAATTACAGGTGTTTTTTGGGTGAACTATCCCTTTAACACATCCCTTCACACTGGTGTCTTTCCCTCAGCATTTAAACAGGCTCTGATAACCTCACTACTTAAGAAACCCACTCTTAACACAGCACTTTTAGAGAACTACAGAACTGTATCCCTTCTTCCATTCATTGCAAAAACATTTGAACGAGTTGTGTTCAACCAAGTCTCTGGTTGTGATTGATGATCAGCTGAATTTCACTGACCACATTGCTAAAACTGCCCGATCCTGTATATTTGCTTTTTTACAACATTAGGAAGATCAGGCCCTTTCTATCAGAACATGCTACACAACGTCTTGTTCAAGCTCTTGTTCTGGCCAGGCTGGACTATTGCAATGCTCTCTTGGCAGGTCTTCCAGCCAGTTCTATCAAACCTCTACAACTAATCCAGAATACGACTGCAAGATTAGTCTTTAACGAGCCAAAAAGAACACATGTCACACCTCTGTTCATCAATTTGCACTGGCTACCAGTAGCTGCTCGCATTAAAATTCAAGCATTGATGTTTGCCTACAAAACCACCACTGGCTCTGCACCCCTTTACCTGAATTCACTACTTCAGACTTATGTGCCCTCCAGAAGCTTGCGTTCTGCAAGTAAACGGTGCATTGTAGTGCCATCCCAAAGAAGCACAAAATCACTTTTACTGACTTTTACCTTGACTGTTCCCTCCTGGTGGAATAACCTGCCCAACTCAATCCGATCAGCTGAGTCCTTAGCCATCTTCAAGAATCGGCTAAAAACACATCTCTTCCATCTACACTTGACCCACTAACACTAGCACTCTCTATTCTATTTACATTTTATCTACTCGTTCTCTTTTTGTCTATTAAAATATAAAAATAAAAATTGCACACTGTATGTCAGTCAGCGTGAGCACCGCATTGAGTTCTTTTTCACATCTTATTGTGCTTAATAACCCTATTTAACATCAGACTCATTCCACTCATTTTCTCATTCATGCATATTTCTCTATCAGTCTTACATGTATATAACTTTTAAGTAGTACTGTGCTACACGGATATATTTGCATACCTCAAAATAAATTATATAGCAAAATCTCTAACAATAGACACTTTATACCGTGATTACGATATTTACTATCATACCACCCAGCCCTAATTTGAAAGTGTGTATTTCAGAGTGATTATCAATTATCATTATGTGTTTTATGTGTGAGAGTCACATATGATCTTACTTCAGTATCTCCAGTTTACAGTGAGGATTGTGTAGTACACCAGAGAGCTGCTTCACTGCTGAATCACCTAGATTATTGTCAGACAGATTCAGTTCTCTCAGGTGTGAGGGGTTTGAACTCAGAGCCGAAACCAGAGCAGCACAACCTTTATCTGTGATTCCACAATCACTCAACCTGCAGAGAGATGAAAGTCATGCTTGTTAAACACTTGTTAATACTTGTTGAACTGAAATCAACAGCATTTTGCATCAATAGAAAAATTCCAATTACACACACACACACACACAAACACACACACACACACTCTCACACACACACAAACATGTATAGTTTAAGCTTAATGGTTAAACTTAAATATTAATTTAATAATAAGTTGTTACTTTATGCTTGTTTGTTTAACAATAATCAACAAATGCATATGTAAATTTTTATTTTCTTCAAATATGCTGACATATTACTCCATTCATTGATAAAATAAATGTTGTTGTTGATGTTGATAAGATTTGTAACCGTTTCTCTTTTAATTTCTTCATCTTTTAACAGTGAAGTGATTGTACTCAGCGATACTTACTGTACTGATCTGGATTCTTTAATCACAGGCAGCAGCTTCTCAGTTACTTCCAGTTTTTCCATTTTATTGTTTCCTCCAAAAAAATTATTAATATTAAATTCATCCAGCTCCTTCTCTGATGTCAACAACACAAAAACTACAGCCGACCACTGAGATGAAGAGAGTTTGGCTCGGTGCATTCTTCCAGATTTCAGAAACTGATGTATTTCCTCCACTAGTGAATGGTCACCCACTTCATTCAGACAGTGAAACAGATTGATGGATCTCTCTGGAGAGTCAATGGCTCTGATCTTCTTCTTGATGTACTCAACTGTTTTCTCATTGCTGTCAGAGCTGCTTACTCTCAATGTCATTAGTTGTAGTAGTAGAATCTGATTCACCTTCACTGACAGCCCCAGAAGGAAACGGAGGAAAAGATCCAGATGTCCATTTTTACTCTGTACAGCCTCATCCACAGCTCTCTGATGCAGCTCAGATAATGAAACATGCTTTGCTGGATTTTGCTGTTTGTTGCTTTGTCCAAACACATGTATTTTCTTGTCTGTAAAGCAGAGATGCACATATAGAGCTGCTAGGTGTTCCTGAATGCTCAGATGAACAAAGCAGAAGACTTTCCCCTGATGCAATCCCAGCTCCTCTCTGAAGATCTGAGTGCACAATCCCGAGTACACTGCTGCTTCTGTCACATCAATGCCACACTCTCTCAGGTCTTCCTCATAGAAGATCAGGTTGCCGTTCACAAGCTGCTGAAATGCCAGTTTCCCCAGTTTGAGAATCATGTCTTCATCTGTCACCTTCTTCCCGTAGTCCTTCTTACGTTTGATGTTGGTCTGAATGATCAGGAAGTGTGTATACATTTGAGTGAGAGTCTTGGGAATCTCTCCACTCTCTGCTTGACTCAACATCTTCTCGAGAACAGTGGCTGAGATCCAGCATAACACTGGGATGTGGCACATGATGTAGAGGCTCCTTGATGACTTCAGGTGTGAGATGATTGTATTGGCCAGACTCTGATCACTGATTCTCTTCCTGAAGTATTCCTCCTTCTGTGGCTCATTGAAGCCTCGTACCTCTGTCACTCGATGGACACACTCAGAGGGGACGAGATCAGCTGCTGCTGGTCTGGAGGTGATCCAGATGAGAGAAGAGGGAAGCAGATTCCCCACAATGAGGTTTGTCAGCAGCACGTCCACTGAGGCTGATTCATCTACATCCCACAACCTTACATTGCTCTGAAAATCCAGAGAGAGACGACACTCGTCCAGACCATCGAAAATGAAGAAAACTTTATATTCTCCACTGAATGGTCTAATTTCTTCGGTTCCAGGGAAAAACTTCTGCAAAAGATCTGAAAGACTCCGTTTTTGGTCCCATAACAAATTGAGCTCTCTGAAAGGAAGTGGAAATATGAGCTGGACATCCTGATTCTCTTTCCCACCATCGAAAATGAAGAAAACTTTATATTCTCCACTGAATGGTCTAATTTCTTCGGTTCCAGGGAAAAACTTCTGCAAAAGATCTGAAAGACTCCGTTTTTGGTCCCATAACAAATTGAGCTCTCTGAAAGGAAGTGGAAATATGAGCTGGATATCCTGATTCTCTTTCTCTTCAGCCCAGTCCAGGATGAACTTCTGCACAGAGACTGTTTTTCCAATGCCAGCGACTCCCTTTGTCAGCACAGTTCTGATGGCTTTGTCTTGTCCAGGTAAAGGTCTAAAGATGTCATTGCATTTGATGGCTGTGTCCTCTGTTGCTGCTCTCCTGGATTGTGTCTCAATCTGTCTCACCTCATGCTCATTACTGATCTCTCCACTCTCACTCTCTGTGATATAGAGCTCGGTGTAGATCTCATTCAGGAGTGAATAAGATCTTTGTTGCTCTGCTGTTCCCTCATACACATACTGAAACTTCTTCATCAGATTTGATCTAAATTTATTTACATTATATTAAAAGAAAAGTTATCATGAAAACATATAATCAGATTCATGAATTATGTCAGTTCTTAACATAAAATATGATATGAGTTTTGTATCTAAAAAAACAGCATAATTTATCTGACCTGAAAACATCTGGCTCACTTTTTGACTGCTTACGGATGGGTTCTCTCTGGGTTTCCTCTGGTCTGGGTGGCAGGAATGACCTTAAATATCATGAAGAGAAATTGGAGAAATTCTTATCATTAACTTAACAATTCTAGTTATTCACTGTTGTGAATGAATTTATCAACCAAGATTTAGTTTTACTGTTATTGACTTTTAATGTATAATTCCTCAATATAAATGAATCTAAACGGCCCTACTCAGTTCTTAATGATTTCCCAGGGGTGATAAGTAAAAACACACATTCTATGATTTCAAGGGGGTACATGCTTATGTAAGCACCTGGTTTGAGTCCTTTTAACATTCAAAATTAATATAAAAATATAGCTGCAAGCAGCAAATAAGGGGCCAAGCACTACAGAAGCATTCAAGGCAGCAAGCATCAGACCAACTTTAGCAAGGAGTAATTGAAGCCATTTTAAGATGATTTTAGTCAAAATGGCTGAAAAATCATAAATACAGCCACTAATAATATAATTTAATGGCTTATCATTTTTTACCAATAGGTGGCGCTGCTATCAAATCGGTGAGTTGTGTTCTGTGTGAGGTGACAATGACCCACACAAAGTTTGGTGTCAGTATGTCAAAGCTTTGCATAGATACAGCCTCGGACGCAGTTTGGCATCATTCCAGCAAATTTGTTGATACGTTAAAAATGCATTACCTTTTTGTATATCGACACGAAATCTATAACTTTTTGCCAGCCTGGTCTGAAGATGATCTGAGTCAAATTTGGTCAAAATCAGACAAATGGTCAAGGATGAGTTAGAAAAAGTAGGTTTTTAACATGAATCAAAATGGCGGACAGGAAGTTTGGCTGACTATGACTAAATTGGTATCTATGTTCTCGGCATGACCTAAAGAATATATTGAGACCAGTTCATTACAATAGGCTAATATACTCAAAAGTTATTAGTATTTTTGGATATTTTGTTATAACTTTTGTCCACAAGGTGGCGCTGCCCCAAACATTTTTGAGTACCATCAGGGCATGGTGCCAAATGGGTATGGTTTGACTCGGTATTCTGCACTGAATCTAAAGAGACCAGTTTTGTGATTTTTGGCCAAACTGTTCAGAAGTTATAAGCAAAAATAACCATTTTTCATATCTCCTGACCACTAGGTGGCACTGCACCAAAACTTTGCTGGTAGCCTCAGGTCATGGTTATTTTAACACACACCAAGTTTCCTCTCAATACGCTAAACCATTGCCGAGATATAGCCTCACATCCATTTTTGCGTGCTCTTTGTCAAATTTGTTCACGTGTTATTTGAGAATGTCTTGACTAATCAACTTGAATTCCATAAATTGTTGCCAACATGGTCTGAAGATGATCTAAGCCAATTTAGGTGAAAATCAGACAAACCGTCCAGGATGAGCTCGAAAAAGTAGTTTTTTTGAGCTATTAAAAATTGCAAAAAACCTTGACCTGTGCAATTTTTCATTTTGGTGTTCATTCTACTATGCATGAGCCAAGGAATCAGAGGGAAAAAGAAAGAATTTTGCTTCTAAATTGTACGGTTCAAAAGTTATTAGCATAAACATAAGTTAAACTTTGGACAAGTGGTGGCGCTAGAGAGTTTGAGTTAGAGACTCCAAACTTGCTGTGGTTAATGTTGAGACTGTTCTCTATCTGTGTGCCAAATTTCATAACTTTCCGGCAAGTGGTTCTATGGGCTGCCATAGACTCAAAAGTGAAAGAAGAAGAAGAAGAAGAAGAAGAACGCCAATGGATACAATAACTGCCTACGCACCTTCCGTGCTCGGCCCCTAACAAGAAAATGTGTAGCACCATAAAAACAAAAAACACCATTGAAAACAAGACAGGAAAAAAACACAAAAAGCATCTCATATTCTTATTTCATATAACCTCTCTGTATGTTTTAAATTTTCACAAATCTTTTCAAACTCTGACTACTCAGAAACCACTGGTTTAAATTATTTGTACAAATGTATAAGAAAAGATCAATTTCAGATGCGAGATTTGCAAGCAGCCTCTGCATCAGCAATGAAACTACTAATATTGAATGTTAATTGCTGTTGTTTATTGTCTAATTCGACTAAGGTGGTTTAATTGATTTATTAAAACTCTTGTTAATTGACAAGCATGCAGTCTGAAGTTTGTTTACCCAGGTCCACTAAGCTTTAGTGGATGATCCATAGACCAGTCACTTGCCACAGACACACAGCTTGGCTCTAGTGAGCTCTCTTGCTGGACAGAACTGAAACAGAAGAAATAGAAACTTTGTAAGAATTTCCTAGCTCATGTACGAAATGTCATAATATAAATGGCAGTTATCATATAATTTATTGAAATGTTATACCAGAAACCAGACCATGTGTCTCTACTAAGCTTTAGTGGATGATCCATAGACCTGCTGTTCCATAAACCTGACCTTGCTGTGTAGCAAATTAGCTCAAAACAGAATTGTATATAAATAATTACACTTAATTATAATTAAGTGTATATTCATAGTCATGCTATTGAAGCTGGTTCACCAGCATAGTCTTGCAGGGTTAAGTGTGAGTAGGCCAGCTGTCTGTATGCAAGCAGTGTGTTTGGGGACAGGCATTTTACTAGCATATTTCTTTAACAGACTAATGATGCAGAAACCATATAAGATTAAAACATGATTTATTGTAACATATAAGTATATCTTTGTAATTCTGTTAGCTCTCTGTTGACAGTAGAACTGAAAATTTTTGTTGTTTTAGTAATGGTTATACTATTAAGCAATGTTATCTGAATAAAAAAGTAAAAATTCAAACCAGTGAAACATTTCAAAAGATTTATGTTCTGTTTCAAAGGATCTGTGCACAAATCAGTTAAAATCAGATTAAAAGAGCTTGTGTACATTGCAAAACTAAACCATTAAGATATATGAAAACAAAGAAAAATCCCAAATAACAGCATAATCATAAACACTTTGTTCAATAACAGTGGGGTTATGAAAAGTGTTGTTGCTAATAAAGAGCTCTTAATAATGAAAGTTCAAAATTGAAAATTACTGTTTTTAAAGGCTTTAATTCTAATTTGAGAATTTGTGTGTCAAAATACAGCTGTCAGTCACTGATTCCAAAAAGTGTGTATAGTAAAAGGAATTTCATTGCAGTTAGGAGCATGAAATATGGTAGACAATAGTGATAGCATGTACTTTCAACAATTGCTGAAGGAGAAATAATTCAACTAAAGGGCCAAGTGGTCAAATCACCACAATGGTAATAAAACCAAAATAAAACCAAAATGGTTTATCATAATTGAATATTGTAATTATGTTTCTGGAGTTGTTTAAGCATGCTCTGGTGAGATATAAATGATTTCATTTGCAGCTGATTTCATCTAAGACTGTGGCTGTGAGTAAGTCAGTCTTGTAAAGTGAATCTACTTTATTTCACTAACCGCAACACTGCTTCAGTGTTACTTTTACTCTATGGATTGTGACCATATGAAAACCGATCACTGTTTAACACTGAGGATTTGCTGTGCCATTACACATGTAACCTGCATCATGTGTTTTTCATATAATAATTTCTTAAATTAAATGCATTAAAATTAATTGGATAATTGGTCTTTTTTTGACTATGAACATACAGTAAGAAACAATATATGTAACGTATACATTCCCAGCTGGTCCCAGCGTGCAAAACATACCTTATGCTGGTGACCAACAATGCTGGATTTTTCAGCAGGGAGGAGAAAGCATGTGCTTGTTTGATGGGTCCCAGTGATGTGGTGTATATGGAGAAGAGGAGGGGTCCAAGAACTAATCCCTGAGGAACCCCTGTGACCAACTGATGTGATTTTAATACCTCTCCTCCCCAGGCAACCTTGAAAGGTCTACCTGTGAGATAAGACTCAGGTCAGCGAAGTGGAGCTCCTGTGATGCCAAGTGATAAGAGGGTGGACAGAAGAATCTGATGATTCACAGTACAGAGCAAAGATGGGAGGGTGAAACAAGTTACTGGTAGAGGGGCTGATGGCACACAGGTAGTAAGATGTAGGTTGAATGTCAAAGAAATGATCAGAGATGTGTAGGGGTTTTACCAAAATGTTGTCTGCAATACAATTGCATATGCAGATTGAGTGGAGCTGGTTGCTCATTTGTGAGTGCTTGTTGTGGTAAGCCGTTTGAGATCAAATAAAGCTAGGAGTGAGTGGAAGTCTGCAGAAAAAGGCTTCTTCAGATGGCCATTGAAGTCACCAAAGACTACAAGTGGACTACCATCCTCAGGGAACGAGGACAGCAGCCTATCCAGCTCTTCCATAAAGGTGCCCAGTTGACCAGGATGGCGATACATTACTAAAATATGGAGATTTATAGGAGCTGTTACCGAGATTCAAAGAAATTATTATTGCATAGGGGAGAGTGGGTTGAGTATTTCCAGTTGTTAGAAATGAGAAGACCAGTACCTCCACTCCTCCCAACCTGATGGGGGTTGTGAGAGAAAAGTTATTAGAAAAAGCATCAGGCGTTGCTGAGTCTTCTCGACAAATCTACCTGTAGGTCTCAGTCAAGGCCAATGAGATGACCTCATGATGAATACACCCCATGTACAGCCAGACAGGTTCAGTGCGGTGTGTGATGGCCTCTTCTAAAGCAGGGTAAGTACAAACAGAGTCAGGGCAGGATGGTTGTGGAGTTTGATACTCTGAGAGCAGAATGAGCAGAGAGTTGGAGGGAGGGTTCCAGCCCCTGCCACTAAGTCACGAGGAGTTAATTAACCAGTTCCTCAATGGGGTCTGTGGATGGAGAAGGTTAACTCCCTGCTGAGTCCATGAAGTTGGTCTGGTATCCTGTCACAGAACTCAGAGACAGAAAATGAACAAATTTGCTGAGTTTATTGACAGCAGGTGGAATAAAAGGAAAGCAGATGAGTGAAAAGATGCTATGATGAAACCACAGCAGGAAAGCACTTAAATTTGTACTGACAGTCTGTTCCATGCAAGTGGAGATAGATGGAAATAAACACGTGGAACAAAAACCAAAGATAACAGTTTGGATAATCAGTGCTGGAGTAACAGTCTGTGGAGAAGGATGATGGAGAAACACGATGGCGAAAGAACGATGGAACAGAATAAAACAGGTAAGTAATCTACACAACCTAAAGAGTCTGAACAGTCTCTGTGTCTCACAAATGAGACCAGACACTGACTGTGAGTTTGAGTGGTGTTTAAGTCATTGATATATGGGTAATGAGAAGCTAATTAGAACTCAGAGGAGAGTAAGCGGTGAGAAAGGGAGAGTCCGGTGTTGCCGTAACAAGTATACTCTGTACAAAGTAAAATAATTTTAATGCTTGCATTGCTTTCATATTCTTACTATTTCATATCATCTCTCTGTTTATTTTAAACTGTTCAGGAATCTTTCCAGAACCAAGCAAACAAACAAAATACTTGTTTAAATTATTTAAATTGTAGTAGTATATACTAGTACTAAATAACATCTCTTTTAATCTTATAGAAATGTTCATTGGTGAGCAAATGTATATGAAAAGATAAATTGGCCCAAAGTTTAGATTTGGGTGTCCTCATTCAATTGAATGTTTGGATGAAACTATACAAGTAAAATAATTATGAGTAAAGATGGGATTGTCACTGTGTGTGCATTGGGTTTGAAACACAAATGCATCAACAATAAAAATACTAATGTTAAAAGTAAATGTTTATTATTGAGGTTTATTGTCAAGTTCAACTAAGGTAGTCAAGAATGCAGTCTGAAGTTTGTTTACCCAGGTCCACTAAGCTTTAGTGGATGATCCATAGACCAGTCACTCTTCACAGACACACAGCTGGATGAATGTGATATCTTCTGCTGGACTCTGTAACAGAAGCAAAATTAACTTTTAGGAATATAGACATTTAATTAATTAAAAAAGAGGTACTTTGATGGGTTGATGATTGTAACAAAGTTCATAGATCGGGAAGAAGGAGGCGAGAACCGGCGAACATTTAAACATAAAACTTTAATAAACAAATGAACAAACAAAAAAGGTAAAAGCGGCAGTCCCTCACGGACGACTGCCGCATAATACATAACAAAGTCCAGGCCTGGTTCTCTCTCGTCTTGCACTGTTGTCACTCCTCCTTTTATCCTTCCGGAGCTCCTCCATGGGACTCGAGAACGGTGAGTGGCGCAGGTGTCGCTCATTATCATTTACTCCACCGGCCTCGCTCCGCTCCGCTCCCACGGCTCTCGGCCCCGCCCCCACTTATCACATACCCCCATCGCCCCTCGCAGGCCGGAGGGTACTCCCGAGACTGCTCTGTACTCCCCCCCGGGGGCCCCGTCATGGTGGCCGCAGCACCTGGAGGTAAGGACAGACGAGGCGAGAGAAAAGGAGACGGAAGGATGAGGAGAGACAGAGACGAGAGAGGAAAAAAAAATTATCTGTCCGGTTCCCGGACACACTGCCGCTTGGTCCTCAACCGGCTGAGAGGCTCTCACTCGCGGTGCCATGCGATGGTACTAGACATCCTTTGGTGGACGGCTCGATGCTCCTCCCCCTCCTGGCGGACGGCGATGGCTCCTCCTGTTGAGGGCAGCCAGCAGCGAGTCCCCCGTTCCCTGCTCCTCCCCAAACATGGCGGATGGCAGCAGGCTCCGGCTCCGGCCTCCTGGCGAACGGCGCCGACTCCTCCGTTCCCTCTTGGATGTCAGCCACCCCTCCTCGACCCAGGAGCTCGGCAGCGAGCCCTCTGTCCCACCTCGTCTTCCATCGCTCCAGCACCACCGCCTCGGGCAGCCACCGGCAGTCTCCACTTCTTCCTGTTGCCCGATCTCCTCAGCACCATGATCCACCTCAGCAGTGAGGGCTCTCTGACAGGGTGTCCCTCCTTCCTGCTATTTCTATAACACGTAAACCACTGTCTTGCACTCAGAAAAGTGAATATTGTAAAATATGAAGCATTCATCAGCAAAAAGTACTATGTGAGACCATTTTCTTTCTTATGGTCAGCCGGCTGCGTACCAGACTGCCCCTTGCCCATGTCTAGTAGAATAGATATTATATAAGACTGCTTCTGCTTAGATCCTGCTCTATATTGTCTTTTTGCAACCAACCATGACACCTTCTAGAATAAAAACAAACAAAACACTGGTTCTAAATATTAGTAGTACATACTAGTATGTAGTGTCTGGACCAATCAGACACACCATTTTTCATTTGATTTAACAAATCAATTATTCATTAGATTAACAAATAATCACAGACCCCTCACCCAATAAACATGCTGGGTGCCAGGGTTCGCAGGTCTGCGAACGACCACAGGCCACTGGTCACCATGTCAACCACGACACCTTTTGCTAGACCAGATACACTTTACGACCTAATGGCATGTTGAGAGTTCTCCCTTTCACTACATTTTCCATAGGAAAGACACAATGGAAAGTAAAAATGGACTCTTCTCTAATTAATTCATAGGAAAACCTTTTTGTATGTTAGACTAGTTTAAGTGTTTATGTAGTTAATAAAGTCTTACTTGTATCACACTTGACGTTGTTCATTGTTTGCTCATAACTGGAGTCCCTAATCATGCAGATTTATGCTACATTCTCTGTGTAGTATTGTACAGTAAGAAAGTTATTTCCCTTAACCAGGAAATTAACGTTCTTAGAATTGACAGACAGTTGACCCTGAGAGGTCAAGTAAATACTTACAGCAGATCTAAATATTTATAATTAATTATGACTAGTTATGATTAATTATTCATGTTTCCCCTTTGAGCTGATTCGCTACAAGTACTAACAAGCCACTTTTTTTTTCTTTTGGTTCAATTGGAATGACTGGAGAAACGTTCATCTGCAGTGTTTCCAAATGCCTTCAATGAAAAGTACCTAAAGCCTGTTTAATAATTTGCCGAATGTTGCTAGATAACACCATGCACTAATTAGCTTATTCATGGCATCATCACTTCATATCAGCTCTTTACATCTGTTTCTATTTTATACAGCCAAATTCCCAATAAAACTGTTCTCATTGACATATTTTCTGTTTCTGTTGTCAGACAACACTACCATTATGACTATATACAGTCACTTCCAATCTGCTGCTCTGCACGTCTAAAATCCGGATTTATAAACAAGAAGTAATTTGATAAAATCACCACACAAATAAGTTAAAGACAATGGCTGTGCTGTGCTATATTTACATGTGAAATGATAACGAGAACAGAGAAAACATTAGAAATGACAGAATTTGCCTTATTTTTTGTTGTTTGTTAATCACCCCCCACCCCCCTAAAAAAAACAATAATAAAAAAAAAAACAGAAAATTGCCAAATATATTTAAATACTGCCAAAATAACTCCTTATTGCAAAACATTAATAAAAGTCGCAGCAACAATGACAAAGTTGCTTAATTTGGTGACAAAATCCCAAAATTGACAACACTGTTCATCAGTGAACAAATTTATATGAAGAGATTAATTTCATATGTAAATTGGGTGTCTTCATTTCTTTAAATATCTGAATGTAAATATATAAGTAAAATAATTATGAGTAAAGATGGGAATGTCACTGTGTGTGCTGGTTTTAAATACAAATGCTATCTTGTGTTTGTATTTCAAACCTTGCATGTAGCCACTGTATCAACAATCAAAATACTAACATTAAAGGGGTCATATAATGCTTTTTTAAAGATCATTATTTTGTATTATGCAAATATTTCCACATAGTGACGTAGATATATGGGGGCGTGTTAGAACGAGCCATTTTAGGGGGGCGTGGCAGAGTCTTAACTTTGATAAAGAATATCTCTTTGGTTTTGAGACTTTAGTCTTTGCAACTTCAGGGATCTTATCTATGCACAATCAGCTTGTAACACTCCAAAGAGAAAGAAAAACTTGAAATCGCATCATATGACCCCTTTAATAGTAAACGTTGATTATTGAGATTTATTTTCAAGTTCAACTAAGGTAGTCAGTTAATTTATTAAAAATGACTACTGTCCATTAACAAGAATGCATTCTGGGAGGTTTGTTTACCCAGGTCCACTAAGCTTTAGTGGATGATCCATAGACCAGTCACTCTTCAAAGATACAAAGCTGGGTGAATCTGATCTCTGCTGCTGGACTGATCTGAAACAGAGAAAAACAAACTTCATAAGAATGTTCTAATTAATGTACATATATAACCTATTATAAAAACACCTTAATATAACAGTATCTTTTATATAGGTGTCATATTCGTTGGCTCTTAAGAGCGATCTCTGTGTTCGAGGTTTTTGATCATTCATTGAAGTTTTTACCTGATTCCTAAAAATGCACTTAACATGAACATGAAAGTTACTCAAGAGTTGCTGTCTGTTCATGAAGTGCTTGGCTGTTTTTATTATGAAATACTTGCAATTTATTTATGGGAAGGGTTTACAGTTATTTAGATTATTTTTTTTTTAATTGGATATCTAATATTTTAATCAAATTATTTTTCTATGCATTTATTTGTTATTATTTGGAGTAGAGTGATTATTTACCTATACACAAACACTGTTTCATTTGATTGCAGTTTGCAATGTATAATTATCTCAAATTCACTCGCAGGATTAGTGGAGACGTGGAGACAGCGGTCACCCATTAACTGATTGCATCTGTGACTGATCCTGGCAAGGTTCGTGTCGCCAGTATTGCAGACAGTGCTGCGTGCACGAGTGTAGATTGCTCTTTAGTGTCATTTACTAATCAAACTCTTAACTATTCTTTACTCCCAAAGGGATAACACAATAACAGTGCTGAACATCATCAGTGTGGGCAATAACACCCTTGGGTGATAGGTTAGCACTTTATTTTACAGTCCTCTTCCGCGTGTACGTATTATGTATTTATTATAACAATTACAATAACTGGGTAATAACTAGGTACTAACCCTGAACCTACCCCTAAACCTAACCTTAACCCATGTAGCTACCTTGTACTGCCCAGCAGGCACATGCACACATAGACATCAAAGGGGGCAAGGTAGTCAGTTAATTTATTAAAAATGACTACTGTCCATTAACAAGAATGCATTCTGGGAGGTTTGTTTACCCAGGTCCACTAAGCTTTAGTGGATGATCCATAGACCAGTCACTCTTCAAAGATACAAAGCTGGGTGAATCTGATCTCTGCTGCTGGACTGATCTGAAACAGAGAAAAACAAACTTCATAAGAATGTTCTAATTAATGTACATATATAACCTATTATAAAAACACCTTAATATAACAGTATCTTTTATATAGGTGTCATATTCGTTGGCTCTTAAGAGCGATCTCTGTGTTCGAGGTTTTTGATCATTCATTGAAGTTTTTACCTGATTCCTAAAAATGCACTTAACATGAACATGAAAGTTACTCAAGAGTTGCTGTCTGTTCATGAAGTGCTTGGCTGTTTTTATTATGAAATACTTGCAATTTATTTATGGGAAGGGTTTACAGTTATTTAGATTATTTTTTTTTTAATTGGATATCTAATATTTTAATCAAATTATTTTTCTATGCATTTATTTGTTATTATTTGGAGTAGAGTGATTATTTACCTATACACAAACACTGTTTCATTTGATTGCAGTTTGCAATGTATAATTATCTCAAATTCACTCGCAGGATTAGTGGAGACGTGGAGACAGCGGTCACCCATTAACTGATTGCATCTGTGACTGATCCTGGCAAGGTTCGTGTCGCCAGTATTGCAGACAGTGCTGCGTGCACGAGTGTAGATTGCTCTTTAGTGTCATTTACTAATCAAACTCTTAACTATTCTTTACTCCCAAAGGGATAACACAATAACAGTGCTGAACATCATCAGTGTGGGCAATAACACCCTTGGGTGATAGGTTAGCACTTTATTTTACAGTCCTCTTCCGCGTGTACGTATTATGTATTTATTATAACAATTACAATAACTGGGTAATAACTAGGTACTAACCCTGAACCTACCCCTAAACCTAACCTTAACCCATGTAGCTACCTTGTACTGCCCAGCAGGCACATGCACACATAGACATCAAAGGGGGCTTGAGCACCTGCCCTTTTTCTTCCTCAAGAGAAAGTGTCCTTTTTTCTGGGGAGTGTTTTTTTTAAATTTTTTTTTTATAAATGAATATATGTATATATGTGCGCATGTGTGTGTTTCTGTTTGCGCACAGCTTTCCCTGTCAAACAAATAAAAAAATAAAATTATCAGGTCGGGTCAAAAATGTTGAGACTCTGTCGATGCCTTTCTCCCTCCGCGTCTCCGCGCAACACAGCAGTGTAGCACACATTGATCGGCGCATGCCCATCACAGACAGGCAGAGAGCCGCAGAAGTGAAGGCCTCCCTCTATTTCCAGTTGTGTTTGTCTTGGTGTGGAGGTGAGTGGTGATAAACGAAAGACTAAGCTACCTTTGCCTCAAATTCACAGCTAATTATCCAAAAGACAAAAGGCCATTATAGTTAATTTGTCTTGCTAACATCCATGACTCATGAGAGCTACCATGTAAGTTAGTAGGTTACACAAGTGCACGTTCTTTCACTGCATGATTCAGTTTACTAAAATGTATTTAGAATGATCACAAAATTCAAGATATGGGGGCAGAAATGTATATATTTATATCATTTCATGTAGTTAATCAGTATCACACGACGACTGAGGTTTTTTCCACCAAAAAGCAGCATGATTACAAATGTGATATTGATTTTATACAGCAGTTCAATAAACAAGAATTGAATATTAAAACACTTACGTTTTAGACACAATATCGACTGTTTTTGCTCTATTTCGCCAACAAATATAATTCAAATTTGCGTCTCTGAGCAACATGACGGTGTTTTGTTCCTGAATTAATCATCCGTTTAAATGATTCGGTTCAGTCGCAATGACTCACTTATTAACAGTGACTTGCTGCCACCTACTGGCGGTTTTAATTTCACATTTTAAGTATCTTTTCATTAAAAAAAAAAAAAAACACTTTCAAATATCAGTATTCAACGTTTTATGTTTAAAATATCAAAACGGTATTAATGCAGTTGTAACTGCAGGTTAAAGCATTCATGTCCTGTATTAAACAGTGTGTAAATACATCTAAATGACCCTTCAGATGCAGCTTCTGTGTTTTCTCTGCATTGCAAAGATGAATTTTGTCAATACTGATTGCATTTGCTTGGTAACAGCCCAAATGACTTATTATTCTAATTGACTGATTCAATTTAAGAATTTGACTGAAAAGATGATGCACACATTTAGAAAAAATGGATTTAAATGCCCATAAAAGTAAAAAATGTACTTAAACTTATTGGAAAAGATTCATTTATATCACTGCTGTGAACTGATCACCACACAGAATATGAAGAATATCAAAAACTTTAGGAGTCAGCTGTCCACGGTAGTCCTTAAGATAGCATCAGCACAATAACACTATTATACTAATACTATTATTTAACTACTCATCTAATTATCGTTATCGATAAAATCTCAGAAAATATTGAGATATATTTTTTGTCAATATCACACACCCCTAATACATTTAACGTTTTGTTTAGAAAAAAAATGAAAATAAATATGAGAAGTGCCCTTTTTTCCACTTCTGCCCCTGCCCCTCAAAATGTCTGTGCACGTCCCTGTTAAAAGAGACAGGCATGTAGATGTTTGTGAAAGATGTTTCTCTGTTATGTGGGGGGATGAACATTGTTAAATTAGACCATATTTATTGCATCAAAATTTGTAAATGCTTCACTATAGGTTAGTGGTGGATAACAGTACAGTTTTTCTTGATTGCAACTGGTTCCTGTAGCACAAAAAACCCATTATGTAATTACCAAACACACACACACACACACACACACACACACACACCCACACTATTCACCTTTTTCCATACATTCTTCAATACTCAAAACTCATTCTGTAAAAACTTATACAAAAGAGGCCAAATAAATAATTAATTCATATTGTCAATGTTACTCAGAAAACAGGATACAGGTTTAACTCATTCGAAATACTTCTGCTTAATGTTACACTTTTACATGTATGTTGCATGTGTCACACTTAATAGACATTATACTCTTAAATATTGAAATTGACATTTTATGTGCTTTCTCTTCACTCGTCAAATTGCTCTGACAGTTTTTACGCCAGTGGGGCCCATTTTCATGATCTTGCCTGGGGCCCCACAACCCTACAGGCCGGCACTTACAGTACATAGCAGCAGTACTATAGATGAGAGAACAGTCTCTATTCTATGTATACTACAGCACAAGTTGTACACCCTCAGACTCGTAACTGTTTGATTGATTTGTAGCCAAGTACTTATATGTATTTTTGCAGAACTGAGAGACGACTGTCTATGGGAGGTAGAGAAAGTCATTTGTCAGAAGACTAGGAAGCTGCTATATATTATTGCAAATAAGCTCATTACCAATACTGTAATGCAATTTGGCAGAGGATGCTGCATTTATTTATTATATCTGAGGCCAAAGCTTGATTCTGACAAAAGAGAACTAATCTATTTCATTTTGACCTGGAAGTTTGAAGTTTGTACAAGTTGGTGTGTAGTTTTGAGATTGTGTTTATAGTTGCAAGAAAACAGTGAATTGTTCCATGAATTGTGTGTTAGCAATCAAGAAAAACTGTAAATTTGACTGCTGTCCAATGACAAGAATGCAGTCTGAAGTTTGTTTACCCAGGCCCACTAAGCTTTAGTGGATGATCCATAGACCAGTCACTCTTCACAGACTCTGAATCTGATATCTTCTGCTGGACTGAACTGTAACAGACAAAAAAAAAAACTTTATAAGAATTTCCTGGCTCATGCACAAAATGTCATAATATAAAATTGGCAGTTATCATATCATTTATCGAAATGTTGTACCTGAAACCAGACCATGTGTCTCTACTAAGCTTTAATGGATGATCCATAGACCAGTCACTCGCCACAGACTCTGAATCTGATATCTTCTGCTGGACTGAACTGTAACAGAAGCAAAATTAACTCTTAGGAATGTAACGGATTCATAATTAAACTACCTTAACAATTAGTTTGATTAGTGCTATTGGTTAAAAATTATTGTTTCAAAAAAAGAGGTACTTTGATGGGATGATAATGTACCCCAAGTTGCGGACACATGAGAGTGCTATTTCTATAACACGTAAACCACTGTCTCTCACTCAGAAAAGTGAAGATAGTAAAATATGAGGCATTCATCTACAAAGAGTACTATGTGACCCTTGCCCATGTCTAGTAGACTTAATGGTACTGCTGGTCAGCAGACTACTGGTCTATTAAAGATTTTATTTATATGCTTCTGCCTTTCAGTCACTTTGTATTAAGTAAATGCAAAAATAATATACAAGAACACATAAAGTACTTACCAACCAAATCACATTTATGCATGATATGAGTAAAGATCTGTACAAAGTAAAATAATTGTAATGCTTGTGTTGCTTTCATAATGTTATTTTATATCATCTCTGTGCATGTTTTAATTTTTCTTCTAGACACAATCCTTCTAGATCAAACAAAAGCAAACAAACCAACACTGGTTGAAATGATTTAAATAGTAGAAGTACATATATTACTTCTAAAAAGCAATTGTTTTAATCTTTTTGTTGTTAATTAATTGTAGTGACTAGAGAAATGTTCATCTGTGAGCAAAAGAATATGAAAATATGAACTGCATATGTTAGGTGGGTGTCCTCATTCATTTAAAATTTGAATGTAAATATACAGTATAGGTAACATATGAGTAAAATTAATAATTATGAGTAAAGATGGGAATGTCACTGTATGTGCATTAGGTTTGAAATACAAATGCAAGATAGCATGTAGCTATTGTATGAACAATCAAAATACTAAGATTGTTATGCATAATGTGAGTAAAGATTGTACTAACTAAAATAATTGTATTGCTTGTGCTGCTTTCATATTGTTATTTGATATCATTTCTGTGCATGTTTTAATGGTTCAGAAATCTTTACAGAACAAAAACAAAACAAAACACTGGTTTAAATGATTTAAATAGTTGTAGTATTTACGGTCTCACTTTATTTTAAGGTCCAATTCTCGCTATTAACAAAGCATTAACTACGACTTTTGCCTCAATAAACTCATAATTTGCTGCTTATTAATAGTTAGTAAGGTAGTTGTTAAGTTTAGGTATTGGGTAGGATTAGGGATATAGAATATGCTCATGCAGAATATGTGCTTTTTAAGTACTAATAAACAGCCAATATGTTAATAATATGCATGCTAATAAGCAACTAGTTAATAGTGAGAAGTGGTCCCTATACTGAAGTGTTACCGTAATTTTAGTGGATCATTCATAGATCATAGATAGTCAATCAGCTTTATTATTAGAAAACAGATTAAATTTCTTAATTTTAATCACTGCATCTTTATGATGGGAACCATCAAACAAATCAATACACTGTTTTATGGTTGAAAATAATAGTTTATTTTTTTCAGGATAGAAAGGGTTATTTTTTTCTATAAAACAAAGTTTATTTAAGTGTTTATTTATACAGTAACTACCTGCATCTTGGTGAAAATTCTTCATTTCTGAATGTATGTTTGTCATCCATGATGGAGAAGTAACTGAAGAGCAGGCTGATCTCCAGCACTGACTCTGGATGAAAATGACAAACAAACACAAGAATAAAATAATTAAACAGTCTTTGTGCAGCTGAATAGTTTGAGATATAAGGTCATGCAAGAGCTGCGTTCATAGGCCTAATGTAAAATCGTATGTTAACAGAAATGCCTTTTAGACATTTGACGAATCACGCACAGCACCAAATAGGCAACTCAAGAAATCACATTGTTTCAAGATGAAAATATCACATTATTGATATGTTAAAAAAATCGTCAGAGAAATAATAACACGGAAGTAACCTGTACAGAGTCTCGAGACGAGAACAACACTCACCTTAATCAAAATGTGACTACATACAGATTCACAAAATCCAACCTAAACTTTATGAACATATCTGTTAAACTCTATATTGCAAAGATTATGTTCTGTCTGTTTAAAATGGCGAAAAATTAACTCTGAACATGTACTTTGACTTTTGTTTTATTTGTGACGAGGTGAGAGAGAATGATTATTATATGACATTGTTACGCCACTCGATCTGAGGACAGATAATCACGCACGGCGGTGAATATGTCATGATTATTAGGCTATCCATCACTTGGCCGACAACTTAGTTATGCAATACTTATGGGAAATGTTTAAAGTTATTTTTCTTTCTTTCTTTCTTTCTTTCTTTCCTTTTTTACTTGATAATAATAAAGTATTTTACTACATGTACTTTTGTTATTATTTCGAGTGAAGCGATCTTTTTATCTATCTGATTGCAGTTTGCAGTGCTTCATTTTCTCAGATTCACCTTCCAGGATTAGTGGAGACATGGAGACAGCGCTTATTGCACTGAGACGGATTCTGTCGAGGTTTGTGTCTCCAGCATTGCGGACAGACATCAGAGTGCTGTACGTGGTGTAATTATTACTTTTCATTTATCTGTGCTTGAGTTCATTTATTTGATGCATTCATTTTAAATATCTAAATAAAAGCTAATTGAATATTAATGTGATTTAATATCGTTATTATGTGTAGATGTATTTTTGCAGTGGTCGTTGCATACTCTCCCAACTATCATGTGTATTTGTCAGCTCACAGCTCCATCTAGCATCGAGTGAGGGAATTTTCTGCATTCCTGCGAGGAAATATGGATCAGGGCTTGTAATCTACCAAAATGAAATGATTCTCAAGTTTTTGCGTTTGGAATCCAGAGTTAATTCCAAAGGTTAGAGTCAACTGCACTGCAGGTTTGGTGCTAAGCTCTGTAGAAGAGCCTCACTCAGGGTTTTCAACATACAAAATACTGTATTTGGATACATTTTTTCATGAAACTTAAAATTGTTATCCTTCCTGCTACAAAAATCTGTGTACATTATCACAATATTTGAACAAAGACATTGTTCAATTACATTATCCCAGAACTTACTGAGGCTGTATTTTTCTTGGTTTTCCAGATTGCTCGATTCATCCAGAACACAATAAGTCTGGTCCCTCTGCATCAACAGACCTAAACAGCATTTTAAGGAACTACTGTATAATAGATGATTTTTCCTGTCTGGACCACTAGAGGGCGAGTGTTTGAGAGGTCAGGCGAAAACCTCTGGCATGTAATATAGGTCCATTTTTAAAATATATAGCATTATAATATAAACATTTAAAAAATATAGCATTTTCAATAGTAAGCTAAGCCTTAAAAAAAAAAAAAAGGCCAAACAAATTTGGCAATATTGCACTGCCATTTTTTCTAATGTCTTATTATTTTATAAGGCTGTTATTGACATAATATATGTCGTATAAGTACATGTATATACGGGCAGTTGAATTATTAGAAAATAATGCACACTTTGCATTATTTTCTAATAATTCAACGGACCAGAGTCAATTATTCCACTTTTACTACAGTTACCACACCTCAAGACATTGTTCAGACAGGGGCAGACTTACATATTAGGCAAAGGCTGGCAACTGCCTTGGGCTCCAAAAAGCCAAGGGCCCCCTAAAATGCTAACACACACACACACACAAAATTAAGCACTTGTATGCGCACGGTAATCATGCATCTGAAGCTGTATTTAAATATTGAGCAGCGCTTATTATATGTTTGTTGTTTTAAATGTCGCCTACTCATTTATGAGAAGGAGCTAAGTAGAGGACGCATAGGCTACGTAGTTACTTTTTTGGTTGATAGAATCCTTAGGTGTTAAATGGATAATTTCCTTTTCATTATTTTTGTAGTTTAATTTAAATTTGTAGTTAAAATAACTAAAAATAAATGTATTCTAAAGTTTACACTGCAAAAAAATTGCCAGGAATTTACAGGATTAAAGAGTATTATTTTACAATAAATTACCGCAGTCAGAAATTTACTGTGAAATCGATGCATGCTGGTCATTTTCTTACAAATGACTGTGAATGAACAGCAGAATGATGCTAACATCACAGTCATTAACTGCTCTTGTTTTACTGTGAATCCACATTATAAAGTTGTCTTTAACTGTGCCACTGTGAGAAATTTAGTTGTTTACTGTTGTAATTGTTTTAAAGTCACCATAATGGTGATTGGTGATTTGTTTGGGATCTTTGACCTTGTATATTCATATTCAAATTTCTGATCTAGTCATGCCAGAAGTGTGACAAATAAAAACATTTGTTAAAATTGTGACAAGCTAGAATATGAAATAAGCAAATTACCTGACTTAAAAAGAGTTAAATTATTCTTAGCATGAACATGAAGATTTTTTTAGCGTTATTTAAGCATGAAGATTAATCAATAACTTATTTTATATTTATAACTGTTTGTGGATGAATCTTTCACAATAGTGAAGCGACTGCTGAGAAACATCTTTGAAAGATGTGACATCAATATTCGACATACTAAACACAAAAATGGTAACACTCAACAAATAAAACCAACACTTACAACATAAACCAACACCACAAACTGCTAAAAGTGAACCAAAAACAAGTTCAATGGCACAAATAAAACCAACAAGAATTAAAAAACTCTACAGCATGATCTATTCATGCTTTATTGCATGCTGAGAACCTTCAGAGTACTGCACTGTAGAACTGTTTGCTCAGAGATTTCTGAGAGTGCAGTTAGATACAAGAGAAGTCCCACTGTGAAAGTCATGCAATTATTAACCTGGAAAATACTGTAATTTCACAC